GTATATATTTAGACTAATTAAGTTCATTGGCAGAACAATTGAATGGGGGGGGAGGGCATGGAGGGCAGCCATGGATGCCAGGGACAATGGGGGAGGAGGATGGGACATAGCAGAGGGTGGGGGATGGGGAATCAAGGATGGCAAAACAAAAGGCAAGGTATGAAGGACATAAAAATTGGAAAATTATTTTGCTGAGAACATGTATGTTGATGTGCTTGATTGAGCTAATGCACACTGTATTTTGGATGGAAAATTCATTTGTGTGTTGTGATGGTGTATAGTGAATTAATGTAGAAAATGAATAAAATAAAATAAAATAAAAAGAGAAAAGCAACAGAACTTGGTGACAGGCGGTTGGAAGGCGATGAGGCTTGCTTAGCTGATGTGCCACCCGACTTGGTGATGTCCAGGGTAGCCACATTTTCAAACCCGGGTAACTGATGATTAGATGTGAGGAAATAGAGTATTTGTCAGTTTTATACATATTGGCTAGAGGTGACAAAGAGGCATCTAAGGGAAACCGTTTTCAAGTTGCAAGGGTCAGCCATGGTGGCCCAGCAGTAACCAATGCTCTGTAATGTAACATGTGGAAAGGTCCCGGGTTCACACCTTTGGGTCTCCCAGTCCATGCTGGCCATGCTCGCACATGCCTAGGATCTGAACTGGCTGAGGCTGGGGCTGGATTGTGGCATGAGGGCCCTGCCAGGGGTGCTTGTCTCTCTCTCTCTCATGGAAGAAATAAATAATTTTTTTTTTTTTAAAAGGAGGAAGAAAAATTGCAGGGTGGAACTACAGCTCCAGTGGCTTGGAGCACAAGAGAGAAAGTCAGATCCAGGCACTCCCAGTGGGAACTGAAGCATCTAAGGCAATTCTGATGCGGTAGAGAGGAAGATCTACCTCACTCTTAGTGATAGTTACACCAAGGGAATGGGCAGGGGTACATCCCATGCACCGTAAAGGGCTGTGTCAAAGTCTGATTTTGTCATTGGACACATTAAGGAATAGAAATCCAGAGAGGTGAGGGATTTGCTTAGTCATGTAGCAAGTCAATGACAAAGCATTCTAACCCACTTTTTTCAACTTGTAAGGTCTAGTTTGCTTTGTATTATGACGCGGAAACCACCTGAGTTCTCAGACGTGCCTGATTTACAGTGGGCACCCAAGACCGTGACAGTCAAGCAGGCAAACCAAAGGCAGAATTCCATTTCTTTAGTTTATTAGCAAGGACGATGAACTGTTAGCTTGGTAGTGCAAAGAACTACAGCAAGTGGCAACCCAGCTCAGAACATGAGCTGCATACACAGAGCATCTCCATTCAGACTCTTGCTCCTTTTATGTTAATACAACAAAAGCTCTAAGGCCTGGCAGAGAGAATCAGTAACAGCCTCATTTAAGTAGAAAATATTTGCTTCCACTCTTCTGCTATGTCTTGAATCTTGTCTCCACCTTCTGAGCACACTGGATCTTCTTCACCTTTATTTACAGAAAATAACACTTCTTCCCTCCCATTCATTCAGAAGGAACTCTCTTCAGTGCATTCAGAAGTTTCTCCCCACGACTGCAGGGGCTTTTCAGATACTGATAGGTTGCAAAGTGCTTTCAAAACATCCCATCCTCCACCCTCTCTCCCCTGTTCAAATAAATAAATAAATGGGTATTTGGACGGCATAGTGTCAGGGTCACTAAAACGGATATGCAATCTAAAGGGACTGGGGGGCAAAAATAAGGGAAAAATTAGGAGCGTGTAAGGTAGTTGAACTGAGTTCTACAAACGGGTCAGTGTTTTCCATCCTCGGCTCCTGTGCTCATAAAACACAGGCTGGACAAGAGAGCAAGGCTCCCCTCCAGCACAGTGACCTGGAGCAAAGGCTGGATTTCAGCTTAAAGCCAAACTGGAAGAACTTACCCTTTTTACACACCCCTGAGTCTGAAGGCGGGGTCTAATAACCCCTTAGTGAGACTTGAGTTTGTGGGGTCATTCCCAAAGTTCCTTGGAGGAAAAGGGAGCCTCTAGTTGGCGCTTCAAAACCAGGCTGAGCCTTGGCTTTTAGAGCTTCCCCATGAACTGACGGGAGAACAGCTGCAGGGTCTTCCAGCCCGAGGTGGCCTTCGGATCCTGAGTTTGCGGCAGAGGAACCATGACCCTGGGCCGGTTCCTGCACGGTCCCCTTGTTCCCCCTGGCTCTGGTTAAGCCCCAGCTCTGGCAATTTCTCTGATGCCCCCCCTACTTCCTTGCAGGACTCCTGCAGCTCAGGCACTCACCAGCTTCCGCCAACCATGTGCAACTTTCCGTGCAGCTTCCTGGGGTGGCACCCAGGCCTTATTTTCCTACTAGCAACCAACTATGGGAAGACAAGTACACAGGAAGAAATTTGTGCCAGAACAGAAATCCTGCGGGCTTCAGTTCACAGAGCCGCCAACCCTTGGAGAAGCCACACTGATTGGTGTTTTAAAGGAGGTTAGAAGCTACAGCGACATTAAGAACACCACGCACATATACACACGGTCCCATCCAAGTACTGTTCCCACCAAAACACATTAAAAAGGAGAGAAGAGCATGTTAAAATCGGTACTATGACAAGGGTGACTGGGCACAGGAGTTTCACCAAGGTAAAGAGTTAAGTGCATAACTGGCATACGGGCTCTTGTTATCCCAAGAATGCAGGAACATTTGCACTCACATCCACAAATTGTCAAGTTCTGTAACACCGCTAATAACAGGAAGCTTTCCCTCTGACTTGGACGAAACAAAGTAAGGCAAGAGATCAGCCGCCAGGGGAGGTCCCAGCTCTGCTGCAGGACGGAAAGAGAACGTGGTTGGGCTGTACTCTTGTACAGAACCACAGCGACCATCTAGCAGAGGCCCCAGGACCCACTGATGAGATGGTGGGAGGGTCAGAATGGCAGCAGGGACTTGCTTGAGCGTAAAGGATCATAACTGCACCAAAGAGCTGGGCACTTCAAAGACACTTCAACACTCGAGAGGAGGCCAACAGCTCCTTTAACTGGATTTTCCTTAAGTAAGAGTGATGACCTCATGTATGCTTGTGGTGTAAGGCTACAAACGGACAGGCCCAAGCATCAGTTCTGGCCCTTGCATCAAGCTCCAAGCACACTGGGGTAGATAAAGAGCTCGTGACATCTAAGCTGAGAGTATTTCCAACAGGGAAGAGTCATGGCTGCCTCCTCGAGGTCTCTGAGGATTCTGGGATAGTACAGATTCTGGTTTTACGGCCTTAAAATATCTAAATAAGCTGGGTAGAATGCCCATGATGTAGTCCCATTTTCTGTTGCTTCTCCTAAGGGTACAGTCTGACCCCTATTCCAGGATTAGGAGAGAGAAAACTCCATCCCTGTTTCAGCAGCAAAGGAGAAAGACTGGCTCGGAAGCTCCAGGACGAAAACCAAATAAAATGGAAATGATCATTGAGATGCAGTTGAAACCAGATCTGGTCTTGGTGGAGACAGCCATGCATATTGGAAGACTTGGGTCTTGTCATCCACTTCCCTGACAGAAGCACTAGAAGCATTGCTGAAGGACCCACGTGTCAGTTCTGATGGAAATACTCAGTGCTTTCAAAGCATCTGTCACAACAGGCTGGACTTCATCAACCTGACACAGGCTGCACGCACGTGGACGTCAGATGAGTCATAAAAAATAATAATAATTAAAAGGAAAAAACGTCCCAATGGGGAAAGTCCTTAAAAGGGTGGCTCAGTTCTGCATGTGTGACGCTAGCCCCTAGGGCTCAAAGTGCCTTCTTCAGGTGGTCTCCAGGTTAGTGGCTTCTAGGGCCAAGGCTTCGCTGGGTTCCTCCTCGTAATCTGACAGGTAGGACTCCAGGCTCTGCTTAGCCAGCAACTCCCGCCGGGCCTGCAGCCGCTCACACCGGGGACAGCTTCCAGACTTGAAACAAGCTTTGTGGTAACACGCTTTACACTCTATTCAGGTTGGAAAGGTGAGAGAGAGAGAGAAGATAACACTGCATTATCTCCGATGGGAAGTCACTGCCATAGCCCCGTGTCACCGCCACAACTCGGTGCCCTGGTGGTGAAACACAGGGTGTGGCAGAACCAAACCAGACTCTTGCTAAAGAGGGTGGCTCATGGGAAATCAACAGGCTTTGTGTTGGGTCTTGCTTGCCCTACCCGTGGCTGCAGCCCTCACCTTCACAGGTCCGACACTTATGGAGCTCAAAAGGGAAGATGATGTCATCCTCGTTCTGACAGAACTCACAGATGAAGCCCTTGGCTTGGCAGAGCTGGGGAGGAAAGAGACAGCAAAGTGAGCGGAGTATATCAGGACCTGGCATGGGAGGGCGACGTGAAGTATAAAGTAGTATTTCATTATTTTTTTTCCCTTAAACACGTCAAGAAGGGCAAAGGCAAAAATACAAGTGAAAATGGAGAGGGCTGAGAGCTCTCCTGTCTGCTGGGAAGAGACCTGGGCTGGACTTGAACATTAAAGCCAAACTAGGGCAGGGCTGGGGAGAGTCAGACAATGCTTCCAGGTGGAGACGAGGGGCACGGGTGAGATGCCTTGACCTCCAGTGGCTCCCAGTGAAGAGAGGAATGAGGAAGAATGGCATCACAAAGGGCTTCCTGGGGTCAGTTTTCCAGCTGAGCAATGATTCCATTTTGAAATAAGAACCACAGCCAACTAAGATAAAATGTGACAGGCCAGCCTGTGGCTTAGTGGTTAAGGGATCTGGATCCTGCATGGCTGACAGCACGGTTCAAATGCTGAACTCCAAGGTTTGGGAAACATGCAGGATGAATGCAAGTGAGTGCCTAAGGTCCAGACAGGATGGAGAAATGGAGAAGGGACTGCAGTGTGACCATGCCCCACTGAGGGGTGCTTTCTCTTTCTCCCACTCTCTGTTGAATGCATGCGCTCTCTGGCAAGTTTAAGGGAAAAAATAATAAAATATGATACTTCATTATAACCTCTAGTTAGGTTATAATGAAGTATTTCCAATCACCCACACGGGATTTTTTACCTAGGCCCTATTTCACCTGGGACAGTTACAGGAACACAAGCTGCACATATTCTAAGATAGGAAGTTCTAAAAAATAGATTTTTGAATTTCTGGCATGTTGAGTATATCACAAATAATAACTAGCATTTGTGGAATGCAAAGTTCACAAAATCCTGTCACATAAATTATTTCATCAACCCTCAAAATACTGGGAAGAAAGAAGAGTACATTATCATTATTGTCTTCATTTTGGAGACAAGAAAATCGAGGCCTGGGGCTGGCAGGTGGCGTGGTAGTTAAGGGTGCTGGACTCCCACATGGTTTGAGTCCTAGACCTGGCAGCTTGCTTCCTCACTTTCCTGTTCTCTCACTGTCCTTCTCTGGTCAAATTAAAATTAATTAATTAATTAATTAAAGTTCAATAAAATAATTCTTAAAAAAAAATTGAGGCCTACCTCAGAAACAACAAAGTATTTCTCACAGTCATAGTAAGTTAAAAAAAGCCAAATCCAGATTAGAATCCCTCTCCAGATTCTAATCTAGAGTTCTCCTCCCACATCAGGACAATTCTTCCATGAAGGCTTCAGTCAAGCCCAGAGCTACCTGGAGGCAGTGCCAGCACCAAGCCCGCCTCAAATTCTAGGTTCTTTAGATCTGGACGATCTGGCTGTTTGCCATCCTAGGGAACAGCATCCCTTTCCAATTAACCTCAGAGTGTTGGCAGACCATTTCAGCTTCCTGGAGCTCTGTGGCAACCATCTGGGTCCACGCCACTTCCTGGTCCCTAAGGGTCCAGTCACATTATGGAGCAAGACTTCCTCACCATGCATCGCTCTACGTGGGCAGCCCCAGCCCGGGTGAGCTCGGCAAGCCGGGGCCCCAGCTCCCCCCTCCTGGTTGCAGTCAGGTCATTCAGTGAGTACAGGTGAAGATCCTCTGTCAGGTGGCCGGGGACTGCATCAAAGGAATCCAGAAGCCTATAGGAAATGAGGGGAAGTAGGGAGGGGGAGGAATGAAGACTCTGTGGTACATCTTAATAGCCTTCTACTAAAACCCTGTCTAGAAGCAGGAGAGATTGAGTAGAGAGAGTGAGCAACACTCAGTCAGCCCACATGTTCCAGGCCAGCCTGGCCTTCTCACACTACGGGGTGTCTGAATGACAGCATGGCCAGTGTATGACCTTCTACAGAGTGATCCACGCCAGCCTGCAACAAGTGCTGGTCCGTCCTGGATCTAACAACCCAGATTTGCCCTTCCAGAGAGCCAGATACAACAGTTACTGCTTCTCATCTGCCACTTTTGGACATTTCTGCAAAGTCCCCATTCTTCTTTGCATAATGACAGCCAGCTGCTGGGACATGTCCCTTTCAGAGACATAAGCTCAGCTGGAGGGCTCTGGGTTCCACACAAGACTTACTCTTTGGCCAGTCGGCATGTCTTGAACATGTTCTTCATGTGATAGAGCTGGACCCGCAGCAGCTGAAGAGAAAGACACTGAGTGAGCGGGGAGGAGGAGAGTCAACTGCCAGAAACACCAGTGCCTTTAAACGCTGAGGCTCTGGAAGCTTCGCAAGCAGCAGCCAGAGTTGGACTGCACGCTACGCCTCGAACTCGGTAACTCGCTTCAAAGCCGTCTCCTGTCAGGGAAGGCCACACTGCCAGGTGAGTCTGCCCAAAACACGCACACGGCTGGGAAGAGCTGAGAACTCCAGAACGTGAAGTTCCCACTTGATACCCTATTCTCCACTCAGCAGTATTTTCAGTGAAGGTAGAAATTCTGCTTTTGCCATCAAATACCGTCTATCGCTTCAGAGCTGCCACTGACAGGTTTGAGACGCTGACTAGACACACACATGAGAAACAGGAAGAGATTAAGAAGCTACATAGGAGGGACCAGGGGGTGGCACAGTGTGATGCAGCTGGACCCACACGAGAAGTGTCCTGGCTTTGTGTCCTGGCACCTCCCAGAGCACTCGGCACACATCCATGCTCTTGGTCTGGGCTGGCTAAGATGCGGGGTGGTTTGTAACGTGGGGACCTTGTTGGCGTACTTGTCTCTCATAGAATAAATAAATAAGACTTGAAAAAACAAGTATATACAGGTCATGACAGCTGAGAGGGCTACAGCTCGGACATTATGACAATGAGAAGTGTGGGGACCTTGGGAGGTCCTGTATGAGCAGAGGAGGGGGCTGAGGAGAGGAGAAGGGTGGCCTTTTCAAGGGTCTTACTCGGACTTGATTGAGCAGCTTGACCTTCCTATAGAGGGCGCTGTTGATGTCCTGCACATTAAACAGGGGATCGTTCCAGATCTTAATGAGCAGGTCCTTGGAGAAATTGCTGACGTAGTACTTGCTGAAGTCCCACTTGCGCAGAATCCGGCTGGGGATGACCATCTGGGCGTTCTCGTGGCAGCACTGACAGAAGTACTTACCCAAGTACTCACAGTACCGCAGCCGCTTGATATAATCTGGGAAAAGCAGCAAGACCAAAGGCCAGATGTGACTTTCCCTTCTACAGACTGGAGAGGCGGCTGTCATTCCCCTGAAAGGACAGGAGGGGACGGCCACCTCCGTCTGAGCTTCCCAGGACTTGCAGAAACCACACTGGGGCCTGTGCTCCCATCCTGTAGGCCCCTGAGGTGACAAAACCTGCCCGAGTTGGTAAGACGCAGACTCCAAGAACCTAGCTAAGCTGCCGGGCTCCTCTAGCATACAATCCTAGTAAGGTGCTCCCAAAGATGGTTTCTCTCTGACTGTCAGTGCTCTTGCCTGGCCTACCCCTTTCCCCCAGTCATGCCCTGTCACCTACCTCAGATCGGCCCCTCTCTCCTATGTGTGGAAGAGAGTAAACCCCCCAGAAGCAGTACGGTGACAGAAGATACTCACCAGGCTCAGTGCGGATACCACACCCTGCACAGCGGTAATTCTGCTTGGCCACGGCAATTTTCCTCCTGAGGAAAGAAGGAGAGAGTATTGGCAGATAGCTGCATGAGGTCTCCGAGGTATAAAAAATGAAAAGACAAGTGTAGAGCTCTTGTTAAGTATGGGACAAGAGGGAAATTCACCTACTTTTTTAGAGTTGGGCAAAATGAACCTATTGGGAAAACTACTTTGAACTGAGGATTATAAGGTGAGGATTTGGGTACAGGCAGTGACTCTCCCAATAACCACACTTCCTATACAAATGGTAAGGGATGAGAAAGAGTAGAGCATGAAAGGGAGAAAATGATAAGACAGAAAAGCATCCATCTATCGTTTTTTTAATCATTATTATTATTTTTTAATTTGCCACAGGTCACACGTCCACACTTGAGAGAGACAGAGAGAGAGAGAGAGAGTGAGACAATGAGCCACCAGGTCTGGGACTCAAACTGCAGTCGGCCATGTGGGAGTCCAGCGCCTAACCACTATGCCACCCACTGGCCCAGCCTCCATCCATCTTAAGAAGAAAATGGGCCAGTAGATGGCGTAGAGGTTAAGGCAACTAGATCCCACATGACCTACTCCATGGTTTGAGTCCCAGACCCAGGAGCTTGAAAATCACACCAGGTGTGTACGTGTGCATGCCCAAGATCTGAAGAGGAAAAGGGATTGCAGTGTGGCCATCCCACCTGGGGGTGATTTCTCACTTTCTTTTTCTCTCTATCAGGCAAGTGCACATGCCCTGTAGCAAACTTTAAAAAAAAGAGAGAGAGAGAAAAGAAAAGGGAGAAGAAAAACAGCTCAAGAAACTACTAGGAGGAAGGCTGGGAATGCCACTAGAAAAAGATCTCATTTTCAGTTGGCTCTGGGGAAAAATGGGAGGATAAGAAAAATCGAAGGGCAAAATGAATAATCCTCTTCTGTGTTGAAGTAAACAGAACTGTGTGGGAAGTACAGTTACCAGCAGACAACCCTGACAACCTGGAAGACATATCCATTTTCCAAAGGGCAAAGCCACTGGCTACTCACGTTGGGGCTGGATGAACATTAAAAATTATCTGAGGCCGCGGTGGGGCCCACTCCAGATTGCCACGAACACGAATCCGCAGCTTGTAGATGTCAGCGTGCTGCCCATCATCTGGTGAGATGGGCAGGGAGTCAGGGATGGGCAGGAGCTGCGGGAGAAGAGTACAGGGTGAGCTAACATGGGCAGGCTGGGGGAACGCATATGTCGACCCTTCTGGCCATGACAGAACATAGTTAATGGAAGACATTTTCAGAACACCACAGGGTAAGAACCACAGGAAACCTTGGCCCTCAAAACACACTAGAAGGCACCAGGTCAGAAGCGAGGGCCTTGGGTTCCAAGGAACAAATAGAAATGGCATCCGGAGTGGTGGCACCCACGGCGGGTGACCCCCTGCATGCATCCCAGGACTGTGGCATATGCCAGGGTGCTTCCTGCCTTAAAGACTCAACTGCAGAGCAAAGAAGAGTCCGAACAGTTCTTCTTCTTCTAGTTTGTCAAAGGTGGTCACAAAATTAGTTTTAGTGTTCAGGTTTAGTGAACAGCCACATGGAAAAAGGACAGTGAAGGCGTCATCATCTCCTGTTTTGACCATTACTACAGAAAACCTACACCAATGATCACTCACTCATTCATTTATTCATTTGACTCACTGGTAGTGAATGGCTTTTATGAGGAAGGAAGGAAACGCACAGGCTCATTCCCGACTGGGGCCCCGTGACAGAGAACACGATCAGAAAGGTTCATGGCCCACTGGGTTGGAATGAAGGGCTGAGGAGCCTACCTTCTGAGGGGCGTCGTGCTCCGGGACGAGCCACTCTAGCTCCGAGGCAGCTGGGAGCTGCATCCCCTCAAACTGCTTCAGGAGCCCCATGGCCACCGCCTCAGCAGATGTGGAGTGCAGAAAGCAGTGGGAGCTGGAAGGGAGAGCAAGAAGACAGGGAGCTGGGAGGCATCCCCTTCGCGCCTGACAGTACGCAGTCACTTCCGGGCTGGGAGAACGCGCGGCGCCCCTGGTCTGCCCTGCTCTGCTCTGCTCAGCCTCTTTTCTTATCACATCAGGCATGTGCACAGCGGAAACTATGCTGGTCCTGTAGCACCAAGCCTTAGGTTCAAATCCCACTTGCTGGCATGACCTGGCTCTGTGACTTAAGAACACGCTGTCCCTTCTTTCCGAACTTCAGTTTCTTTCACAGCAGAATGAAGATTGTGACCGTTTTTTTTTTACAAAATAAAGTGAGTAAAACTGCTTTCTGGAATAGAAAGGGATACTGTTCTCCCAAATGAGCTACTATTTCCCCCAGCTGGGTCCACAGTATGGAATCTGTTCAATTTGATTTCGTGATCAAAAGTCACAATCACGGCTATCTCTTTTGAGAAGAGATGTGTTTGTGATGGGCAGAGAAGGGACCGTTCATACTGCGAACATCGCCTCTACGAGAGCCCTCCGTCTGGACCGAAGCTCCTCTGCTCTCTGCCCCGAGCCTGCTACCACCAGGCAGGGCTGCCACTTCACCCTTGGCACTCGTGAATGTGGAGGGCTACGCACTGGGTTCGTTTCTCCACCTAATCCAAAGTTTTATTTATTATTTTAAAAGTACTCACAAGGACTGGGAAGAAATAAAGGACTTGCTGCTTGAGGCTGTGTTCCTCCTGATGTCAGCATCTGAATGGAAGCCAGCGATAGGGGAACAGGAAGTGGAGAGGGAGGAGGGAAGGATAAAGGAAACCATTAGGAGAGATCACCAGCTAAGCACTGGGGAGCAGTCAGGTGCTCCACCCTACCCAGGACAAGCAGCAGGTGAAGCTCTAAATGCAACTACACTTTTGCTCTATTCACATCATGGCCAGGCTGAAATAGGGACAGATACCGCGCACTGGGAAGGCCACTGTGGTTACAAAATCCAGGTGGAAATGCCAACTCAGAGAATGTAAAACGGTAACCCTGAGGCAAGCAGAAACACAAAACAAACATTCTGAATCTCCCCCTCCTTCTCTAAAATCTCAGGCTTTCTTAAATGGTAAATTCCTAGAGGCAAGAACTCTGGCACTTTGTACAGGTAAGAGGTAATACCTAACACAGAATTTGGATCACAGAAGTTCCTCATTAAGTGTATATGAAATTGGAATTTCGCTTCTAACATCTTGCTACTATTGCTATGACAGCAGAATGCCAGAAGTTTCCTATATCCCTAAAAAGCTTTCCATCTTGCCTGGTGGCACAGGGAAGAAAAGTACTCTATGGCTTGGCAATTCCCTGAAAATGCCAAGTAATAATTTTTTTTCTTTCTTTAAAAAAAAATTGGTACAGGGTATATGCGCTCACTGGAGAGAGAAAGAGGGAGAGTGAGAAAGTGAGAAAGTGAGAAAGTGAGAAAGCACCCTCAAGGGAGGATGGCCACAGCACAATCCCCTTTCCTCCATTCTCTTCTCAGGATTTCGGGCATGCCTGTGCACATACCCAGTGTGATTTCCAAGTCACTGGGTCTAGGACTTGAACCATGCAATCGGTCATGTGGGATCCAGCTGCCTTAACCACCACACCGCACTGGCCCTAACCAGCAAATTTCTACAGAGACAGTCAACATGATCTTTATACAAGACATAATCAGGGCAGATTTTCTTTTTTTCTTTTTTTAAGAATTTTATTTAGTTTTTTATCTACCATTATTATTATTTTAATTTGACCAGAGAGAAACAGAGACAGAGAGAGGGTGAGGGAAAAAGCAATCCACCAGGTCCAGGACTTGAACCACGGTTGGCCATGTGGGAGTTCAGAGCGCTTCACCACCACACCACTTGCTGGCCCCAATCAGGGCAGATTTTCTGAAACCTATGTCCGATAAAGGATTTTGAAGAGCATTTCTAATACTAACATCACTGAACCTCCAAAAGCCTCATCTGTGAAAATACCCGGGATGGGGGTCGTGGGGAATGCAGATCGCCAGTCATGTTTAAGGAATGGAGACAGGGCTGGCCCTGTAACACAGCGCTGTGCAAAGGGAGCCAGAGCCCACTGCCAATTAGGATCAGAGTCCGGACCCGGCAGCTTGCACGCCATGCACATGGGTGTGTGCCCAGGATCCTAATGGGATGGAGAACTGGAGAAAAAGGATCAAAGTGCTACCAGGTTCTACTGGGGAAGGGGAGGGTTACACACATGCTGCCTCTATCGTGTGTTTTCTAGCCTTAAAAAAGGGGGGTGGGAGCAGTGGATAGAAGCTGCCTATTGGGTCATCCGAGAAATCATGATGTATTTTTCTATGCAAAAATGTGTCCTGACTTTTCCGATGACCCAGTAAGTCTGAAAATACGACTGTTCTGACAGATCCCATCTCTCGTTTCCTTCAATGCCCAGTGAAAAAGACTTTATCATGAACGAAGCCCACATATAACCACCCTACTACGTCTGAGCCTCTCGAGAGAGCACTGCACTATGTGACATGGCTCTGCCTTTGCTCATGAGGGACGAATTCAACCGTTCCTCACGTTCCCTCTGAACATAGATTTCCTGTATGTACAACTGTCATAGGATGGGAGACTGTTGAGCTGCATTGTGTGAAGCCCTGGGTTCTCTGGGGCCATCCAGATCACTAAAATTAGAGACCTGTCCCTAGGCACAAAATAAAGCCACAACCACAATGAAAGTAGGGAGAAAAGAGAATTTAATAGGAAAGAAAGATTTTAGAAAAGAAGTACACCTAAAAGACCTTTGGGCGGGCAGGTAGCTAGCTATCAACTGCGTTTGGAACTGGTTAGATATAGTTTTTATTATCAGAGGTAATAATGAATATTTAACAGTGGGAGGTTGGTCATATTAATTATGTCCTTTGTTTGAATTCGGGGGTTTTTGGAGAGGTTTTTGCTATAGGGCATGTGCACTCACAAGAAAGACAGAGAGAGACAGAGAGACAGAAAGCAAGAAATCACCCCCCAGGGGGGATGGCCACACCGCAATCCCTTCTCCTCCGTTCTCCTCTCGGGATCTTGGGCACACATGCACATGCGCCCGGCGTGAGTTTAAGCACTGGGTCCGGTAATGGCTATGTCGCTGGACTCCCATGTAGTCAACCGCGGTTCCAGTCGACAGCCATTATGCCAACTGCTGGTCCCATCAGGGGCTTTTTTGTGCTTGAGAATCTCTCTCACAGGTGAAGAATTTGAGGAATTTGATCACCTAGCTGTGGATGTCCAGTGTGACCCATAATGACAGGAGCATCCTTATTAGAATGAACTGCCCCATGAGTTTACTGCCCCGGTGGGAATCAGGATGTTGACCAAAATGTCTGGTTGGGTCTGTTTGTATTTATGAGGAATGATAAGAGGGAAATTTATAATCATCCCGACGTGTCTTCTTCAGGTACCAAGGAAGAAAAATTATATTTGCCTTGTCTCAGGTGCCAGGAGCCGGGTGGGAAGAAGGCATTTCACGTAAATTGTAATTGATGTGGCATGTGTCCTGCTATTCTCTTAGGGCTGCCCGCTCATGACTAGCTAACTGCCTACTACTACACAACTAGATTATAAAATCTTGAGAGGAAGTGAGATTATGGCTAATTCTTCTTTGGCCTTAAAATGTTTTAATACTGTGCTCCGTAAGTGAGCATATACTCAGTAACATCGACAAACTAATGCCTCCAAAGCTATATACGTGAGTAAAACAACAGAACTGAAATCCACATTCTACTTTTCATATGTACTCTAAGCACAGAAAACATGACTTCAACAAAATCTTTGCTGGCAATTCACAAAGTTTATCTGATTTAACATCACAGCTGCTCATGCATATTATATTTTCTATCTGAACCTGTACCTCTGAAATCCAGATCCCAGGCCAAGGCTGTCTGTTTCCATCCTAATCAGTGCTCTCGGAGAAAAGGAAAAAGTCTAGGCAAGCAACAGCTAGCCGACCTACAGACCTTATGGTTTCCAGCATTTATTTGCCTAACACTTTGCTACAGTTTGAATGTGTCCCCCCAGAATTCATGTGTTAAAATTTGGGGGGTGGGGACCAGCAGATGGCATAATGGTTACGTTACTGGACTCCCACGTAGTTGACTACGGTTCAAGTCCTGGACCCAGTGGCTTAAACTCATGCTGGGTGCATGTGTGTGCATGCCCAAGATCCTGAGAGGAAAACAGAGGAGAAGGGATTGGTGTGACAACCCCCCACCCCCCGAAGGGTGATTTCTTGCTTTCTGTCTCTGGTGAGTGCATGCACCCTATAGCAAAAATCTCTCTTGAAAAAAAAAAAAAAATGGGGGGACCAGCAGATGACATAATGGTTATATCACTGGGTTCTCACATGACCAACCACGGTTTGAGTCCTGGACCCAGTGGCTTAAAACTTACACCAGGTTGGGAACCAGCAGTTAGCGTAATGGCTATGTCGCTGGACTCCCACGTAGTCGACCACGGTTCGTGTCCCAGACCCGGTGGCTTAAAACTCATGCCGGGCGCGTGTGCGTGCGTGCCCAAGATCCCAAGAGGAGAATGGAGGAGAAGGGATTGCAGCGTGACCATCCCCCCTGGGGGGTGATTTCTCGCTTTCTGTCTCTATGTCTCTCTCTGTCTGTCTGGCGAGCGCACGCGCCCTACAGTGAAAATCTCTCCAAAAAAAAAAAAAAAATTACACCAGGTGCGAGTATGTGTGTGCCCAAAACCCCAAGAGGAGAATGGAGGAGAAGGGACTGCGATGTAGTCATCCCCCCATGTGGTGACTTCTTGCTTTCTGTCTGTCTCTGTCTCTCCAGCAAGGGCATGTGCCCTATAGCAAAATTCTCTCTCAAAGAAAAAATTGGTGAGCCACTGTAATGGTACTAAGAATGTGGTGGAGACAATCCAAGCGGTATTGAAAGGTGGGCCTTTGGGAAATGATTAGGTATCAGAGTGGGGCCTTTACGATTGGCCCCTGGTAGGTGATAAGGTGAGGGAATGACGCAAACACTCTCTGCTCTGTTCAAGTTCCTGCCCTCGACCATGTCATCCACCAGCAAGAGGCCCTTACCGGACACAGTCCTGGGACCTTGGACCTCCGAACCACGAGCAGAATAAACGTCCATTTTTATAAATTACCAGATGCAAGTATTTCTGTTATAAGCCACAGAACGGACTAGATCATATTTATGCTGCACTGGGTAGCACACGGTCTTGTCCGAGTAACCCTTGGAGTGCTTTGTAGCTAACAGGTTTTCAGGAAGTACTTACTGAATGAGTGATTAATTGGCCAAAGGCAAAAGAGAAATTACATTCTGTTTTGGTGTATTAAGGAAAACTGAGAGAAAGCCTTAAGATAGCCCCTTCGCTAGCCAATTTCGTTACTTTAGGACAAGACCATTAAAAAATCAACAAGAAAAACAAACAAGAAAAAAAACACTATTCACCAGAAGAGGCCTACTGATGATTCGTGGTTGCTAAAAAACCCCCACTGCCTTCATAAAAATGATTTAATAGTTCTTCACCCTCACAGAGAGAAAGTCAGTTTTTTTCTTCTGTGGGAGAGAAAAAACATTCTCTTCTCTTTACAAAATATAATCAAGGTCTAGCCATGGTGGCCCAGATGGTCAGAAACCACTGTGCAATACTGGAGCTGTACGGACGGCCCGGGTTCAGGCCAGGTGCACTCATGGCACAGCCACGATCCTGGTTGGTGGGAAGGCTGGGGAG